ATCAGAAAGTTAGACCAAGGATAATGTGATCACATTTACACACACTTTTTTTTTTTTTAAAGACAAGAGTATATAGAAAACTGTTAGCAACAAATGATTTGTGGACATGCCAGACACTATTCTAGATATTGGTGGTACAGCAGTCAATAAGACAAAAAAAAAAAAAAAAAAAAAAAAAACCTAGACTCACTTGGAAGTAGACCGAAATGTACAAGATAATTTCAGCTGGTACTATTCTATGTAGAAAATAAAACAAGGTGAGAGGGTGAAAACAGATTGGGTAGGCTACTTTATTTTATTTTTTATTTTTTATTTTTTTTGGGGGTAGGCTACTTTAGATTAGGTGCCCAGGATAACTCTCTCTGAGGAAGTATTACTTGAATGAGACCTGACTAACCTAAGGGGCTCACTTTGTGAAGATATGGAAGGGACATTCCAGGCTGGGAAAAGCAAAGCAAAGGCTCTGAGGCAAAAGCAAATAGGAAGTTTGACAGGAAAAGAATGGCTAGACCAGGCCAGGGTGGAATGTGACTGGGTCAGATGATCAGACTGGACTGTATCCAGCACAGGCAGGCCTGGGTAAGGAGTTTGTGCTTTAGTTCATGTACAAAAAGAATTTACTGGATGGTTTTAAGAGAGATGGAACATGGTATGACTTACATTCTTTAAAATGCCATTTCAGGGACACCTGGGTGGCTCAGTGGTTGAGTGTCTGCCTTTGTCTCAGGGTATGCTCCCAGAGTCCTAGGATTGAATCCCATATTGGGCTTCCTGCATGGAGCCTGATTCTCCCTATGCCTATGTCTCTGCCTCTCTCTCTTTCCCTCTGTGTCTCTCATGAATAAATAAAATCTTTAAAAAACATAAAATAAAATGCCATTTCATTTTTTTTTTTTTTTTGTGGAAATTGACCTGCGAGAGGACAAGAGTAGAAGGAGGAAGGCCTGTGAGTACTGTGATTATGATAGGTCTAGAGAAGGAGGGATGGTGGTTTGACAGGGTGGTCAGTGAAGGTGGAAAGCAGGGAATGATTTGGGATATATATTTTGTTGGAAGTAGAGCAAAATTTTGCAGATGGATTGGCCGTGGGAAGTGAAGGAAAGCAAGGAATCTGGGATAATTCTTTGTTTTCTTGTCAAATTATATAGATTTTGGTGCCAGTTAACAGGGGAGATTAAACAGTTTTCTTGGGAGAAAAAAAATCAAGAGTATTGGGGAAAAAATCAAGAATTCTGTTCTAGCTATATTAAATTTGATACATCGGACCGTCATTATTTCAGAGGTTTTGGCAATAATTAGTGTGTGTGTATGCATGTGTGTGTGACAGTATAGTGTATTTTCTTTTAGGAGCTTACATTTGGAAAAAAAAATGAAATAGGTTGAGAGACATTCAAAATATGCTTGGCCAACCAGGTCCCTCAATTATTCAAATAGACAGGAAGCATATTTCACCTGGAAAAGTTACTGGAATGAGATTAATGTATAGGACAAATGGCTCCATCCTAAAAAAAAGCAAGCAGTTAGAGAATTCACAAAGAAAGGCAATGTATTAAATTTGTTCCTATCATGAACCAACCATGCGGGGCACCCATGCGTGAGCCTTCTATAATCACCATCACCCATGTAAATACAGTATCTTTCACGAGAAAAACAGTAGAGAACATGCACATGTCCTTCAGGTCAAGAAAAAGGAACTCTGACCAAATGTGCATGTGGGAGGAGCCAGAATAGTAATTTATTTTCTTTTTTAAAGGAACACTGCACAGGGGAAGCTGAGGACCACAAGAGTGTAGCTATAAGAGGGACTACAGTACAGCGGTCAAGGAGGTAAGGTCAAGGAGGTAAGGCACAGCACCTCCCAGGCTATGCTCCAGTTCCACCAACATTTACTGGTTGTACAAATTGGTTCAAGTTCTGTAACCTTCCCCTGCCTCAGTGATGTTATCTGTAAATCTGGGCTAAGGGCACATAGTAGACCCTGTAATGCCCACACCCTCCCCTTTCCCAGACTCCAGAAGATGGCCTTCGGCTGTCAGACCTCTTTGGGGATTGCCTTGGTTGAGGAAATTGTCTCCCCCAAGTTCATACCTCCTTCCAGGGCAGCCCACATCCAGTCATTAGTCAACAAGAGGTTTAAGGGCCTGAACTCCCACTTCAGAACAGCTGGAAGGGTCTTCCAGCTCCAGAGCTCCATGTGGAGTTGGCTGATGCCTTTGGTGGGCTTTGATTTCAATGCCTCACTCTACTCAATCTGGCTTCCTTCTCCTCCCTCCCCAAGGAATTGTCCCAAGATCTGTCCCTAAGAAACACCCTGCAGTGCTGATCTCTCCCCCTTAGACACTGCTCCCCAGGGAGCCCAATCTGTGACATAAGAGAACCCTCCTCAGAGAGTGACCCCTATGAATAAATAAGTCATGGGCCACCTGGGTGGCTCAGTGATTGAGTGTCTGCCTTTGGCTGGGGTTGTGATCCCAGAGTCCTGGGACTGAGTCTCGCATCAGGCTCCCCACAGGGGGCCTGCTTCTCCCTCTGCCTACGTCTCTGCCTCTCTCTGTGTGTCTTTCATGAATAAATAAAATCTTTTTAAAAATAAAGGAATAAATAAATCACTGTACAGAAAACACTTCAAAGAGTGTGTGTATTTAGTAAGTGGATAGAACCATTACCTATTGTTACTGAGGTGTTTTCTTACGATGTTATCAATGCCTGCAATGGTCTTCTCCCCCTTAGCCATAGAAGGCTCATTGCAATGGCTTGAGTTTATTTCCCATACATTGTATTACATATCAATAAAGTTAACTGGCTTGTCTTGGGTGACAATAAAGTAAAGAAATGTATTTCTGGCCTATTTTATGCTACTAGAATTCCTTATTCTTGATTGTCAGGGGAGCATCTCTGTGTTTGCAATTGGATTATAAAAAACCTTCTCTGTTTATATACATATTTTTAATTGAGTAAAGACAGATATGAACTGTATTTTATTTTATTTTTTTGAACTGTATTTTAATTAGGCTGGGATTACATATATGTCCTGACAAAGACTTCTTCACGACAGGAATTCACATTTATCGAGTCTTCTGAGATGAGAGGAAACACATATCCTCAGCTTAGTCCATCCTGTTCAGGAATAGTTCTGAAAACCAGAGGCATGGATATTAAGCTCTTTTTGTTACTGCATTTTATTTTTCTGGCTCATTCATTAGTACTTGATCCTTAAGAATAAAATAGAGGTGAAACGTTTCCCTTAAAACTAAAGATCCTAAAAACAAGAATAACCAAAGAGCTTTCATTCTAGACAGCAATGAATACAAGGCCACATAAAGTTCAATTTGAAAAACAAATGTGACCCCAAAAAATCAAGTTATACATTAGATTAGACCACACTCTAACACATCAGTAGAAAAAAAAAACCGAGCCTCAAATATAAGCCAGCTGAAAAGTAAAGGCTACGGCTGGTAAGAAGTTATCTTTGCATCACCTACAATTCTTCAAAGAGCATTAGTTGTATAATGCAGCTAAAAGCCACGTATACAACATATACAACAGCTGACTATATTCCTCTCCCAACTAGAAAACCAAAAAGTTTGTGATCCTGATCTCCTATATTTGTCTAATATTATTCCCTGACACAAAGTCTTCATACTAGGAACAGTTTTGTAAATAATCACCAAAAGAAGTTCCCTCTCTGTCCTGTTCAGTGGGAATTCTGGACTATTTGTTTTGTATACACACCCATGTCCACTTGAAGGCCTTAGGCTTTCATGAGACTCCAAGTCACTATTCATGGCAGTTGGAGTCTATGCCCTCCCCGCAGTGGGCACCTCATTTCTCAGCCACAAGTTGAATAAATTGGGAATGGCTGGCATAAAGCTTGAGTTGATCACTGATGTCCACCCATTTCACTTTCTTGGCATCATCACCAGTTTCCAGAGGAAGATGATCCATGATCTCACCTGTGTCATTGTGATAGTTCATAGCCCTGTCTCCATCCATGCATTATCTGTGTTTTGGGGATCATCCATGTAGCCTTTATAGACGACAAAGTGTTCCCGACTGAATAGTTTGTGCAGCTGTTTCTCCAACTCCTGTGTTTCTGCTCTGGGTTTCTATAAGGAGTTCATGGCTTCCTCAGCAAATTCTCTCTTCAATGTGGTACTAATTTTCTCTCCTGGCTCCACCATTCCACCTGCAATGGCCCATTCTCCACAGTCTTTCCTTTTGATGGCTACAAATTGTAAGACGTTTCTCTCAGAAACAGGACGGATCACTCTACTTCCGTTATCCTCTTTCTACCTGGTGAGGATGGGATCTGCAGCATGATTGGGACCCCACCGCCCAAAAAGCCCTCTGCCCACCAGCCCTGTCCAACTGCAGGGTTTCTAGGTCTGCCATTTTCAACCTCATACAAACCATTCTAGCTCCTTCTTTCAACATGCCCATCCTCCTCATTGAATTTGGGAGAGAAGTTCCTTTCTCCCACCAGAGGGTCTGCCCACATGGGCCCGACCAATTCACAACTGGCAGTGTACTCCACAGGCTTGTACTCTGGCCACTCAAGCAGCCAACGTACTTTCTTGTTGGGACCTGGCTTTGCTCCACTTTAGAGCCAGGGTATGGAGACGCAGTGCCATTTGAATGGGACTTGATGAAGCTTGGAGGAAACCCACATGAGGAAGACAGGCTCCAACCAGCCGAGATGTTGGGGCAGCTGCTGGGCCAGGGGGCAACAGAGGCCCCAGTCTTGGAGAGAGACACCGTTACTAACCCTTTTGCCAGGCGGTGTCCAGCCATCTGCTATTGGGCGGCTGGCAGAGATGTTGGTGGCACTCGGGAGTGCCTGATGCTCATGAAGCCAACCATGCAGCAGAGCCATGGGGTAGGAGTTGGGGAGGTAGGCACCCCACCCTTTGCCCCTCCAGGCCAAGTGTGCCTTTTCATTTTACACTGAAAGATTTTGACATCTGGAAGGGCTTCCAAATGCAGAGTGCTGGGGTTGAGACCATCGTCCAAACACCTCCAACAAAATTAGCACACAACCACCGAGGTACTAGCCACTATGGGTAGATTTAGTTCCCTAGGTCCAGAACCACAGTCTGTTTGCGAAAGGGCAAAATGAATGGCAGGGGGGACAGGTGGGACACAAAGTGCAGTGCCTTGTTTGGGATGATCAAAAGCCTGGTGAGTGTGACCTCCAAGGAGAAAGAGAACTCACTTGTTGCACAGAGCATGGTCCTTGTAGGAAATCCATGATGCAGGAGGTGTGGGAGATGCTTCGTATCTTGGGTCCACCATCTACTAGCTGAATGGCTTGGGTAAGTTGCTTAATCTTTCTCTTCAAAGGAGTATCTGCTACAGCATGCCAGGTGCTGTGTCAAGCACAGAAGATTCGATTGAGATCTGGACCCGTGGCCTCTGCTCTTTAAGGATTTCAGTCGGGAAGGCAGCACATACATTAAAAAGTAGGACTAACACTGGAAGAGCAGAGCCCTGGAATCCTTAAGAGTTGAACATAATCTGTTTCAATTCTTGCTTCCCCTCCTTCACTGGGACTATCTTGGGCAAAGTGACTTAAGCTCACTTCAGTTTCCTCAAGTGTAAAATGCAAGTAATATCTATCTCATAGGGCTGTGCTGACAATTAAGTGGGATGTTACATGTAAAGCTGTTAGCACAATATCTGGCCCACTGTACACACTCAGCAATGCTACTTACTATTACTTACTTACCATTATCCTTTTGCCGCTGCACCTTGAAAACTGTGTAGAAAAGAACAGGACAGTTGAAATAATTATGAGAATTGAGAGACTCAGATATGAGGTCAGAGTTAACCTATGATTTCTCTGTGTAGAAAAATTCAGGCTGAGAAATAACAGCATCTAGATCCTAAAGTGATAGAGAGGAGAAGAAGAGGCACTGGCTAAGTCATTATGTCTAAGAAAACAAATCCTAGGGAAGGGTATCTTAACATTTGAAATAAATAGTTTTAGAACAAATGGAGTACTATATACTATAATTGAAACCCAAAGGATAGTTAACATTTCCTAAAGGTTGTTCCATGTTAAAGCAGTCCCCTAAATTATTTTGATGGTCAAATATGTTTGGGAAATTCTACATATTTCACCAATTTCCCTTAGAAATCAAGGATTTACATTACTGTTTTAAAGATGCTGTGACTTCCAGTAAAAACAAACTGATCAACCCTAAACTATTTAATTCTGTTTTATTTAGTATTTTTCAGATTACCTGACCAGAGAATGCTTTGTTTATGCAATAGTTGGTATTATTTTAGGAACACACCTCCTCAAGTTTAGAAAAGTTTCAAAATGTATGTGGGTGTCCTGGGGGATAGATCTCTAACCATTTGAAATTATTACCCTCACAGTGAAAGGCAACCACTGAAAACTCACCCATCACCCTCATAAAGAACCCTAAGTTCAATGAACTACATTTCCAGAAGGCTTGAACCCCAGAAATAGCCAGAACTATAAAGAACAAAAAAGTGGAAAAAACTGACAGCATGGAAACGTGAGACCTGGTCGTCGTCATCGTCGCCGTCATCATCATCATCATCATCATCGAGAATTTGCCATGTGCACTGTACAAAGAACCACCAGAAAAGAAAGATGATTATTAAGGGACACAGTCCCAGGTCTTTAAGTCATGTCTTTTTTTTTTTAAGTCATACATTTTTTTTTCAACTGTGGAATTATTCTTCCTCTGGGCCCCCTGGAAATGCAGTGGGATATGCACTGATATGAAAAGGTAAACATGTTGGAAGAAGACACTTGTAAATTCCTTATTATTTCCAGGCATCATAATGTAATTCACAAGAAACAAATGAAGCAGGAGTCTTGGGCTTGGTTCTAGCTTTCCCCCATCATAGGCTGACAGTGGGCTTCTCAGGGTCTTGGTTTCTCACTATAAAAGGAATTGTTTGGCCTCTGTTATCTGCTAAAGTCCTTCCAGCTTTAACATTTTATGATTCTAGGATCTTTGAAAATTTCATTATTGGAAGGCCAAGGTTGATTTTTGCTATGAATCAAAAAAAAAAAAAAAAACACCACCCAAAAAACAACCAGATGTTCCAATATAAACGACCAGATGCCCAGGGGACAACAGACACTTGAGGAAAGAAAGCATGGGTGCAGGGAAGGGCTGGTATGTCAAGTACAGTACAGAAATACAGTGAGCCGAAGAAGACTTCATGGCATACCTACCTGAAAAGGGACATTAAAACCAGTAATGAGGGATGCCTCGGTGGCTCAGCGGTTGAGCGTCTGCCTTTCGCTCAGGTCATGATCCCCGGGGTCCAGGATCGAGTCCCACATTGGGCTCCCTGCAGGGAGCCTGCTTCTCCCTCTGCCTGTGTCTTCAGGCTCACTCTCTGTGTCTCTCATCAATAAATAAATAAATCTTTTAAAAAAAAAAACAGTAATGAGAGGTTTTGTTTGCTTTTTACCATCATCAAAGAGAAGACATTTAAATCAGACCATTTGATGATCATGGTGCAAAAGGTGCCCTAAGGGAAGGAAATGAAGTATTATAGCTGAGACCAAAAGAATTATTTGTGGGGAAGCCACTGGGGAGATTCTCCTTTCTAAATTGTCGTCCAAGACAGAAAAACAAACAGAGCTAGACACAGAGAATATTCTGGGTCATCCAGGAGAAAACCCTGAAGGAACTGATGTACAATCAGAGAACAAATCTTTGGTCTGTCACTATGAACTATTCTTGGGCCAGAGCTTGCTGGCATGATCCCCATTTTATCAAGAACATCATGGAGGGCAGAACGGGCATGGAGAGGACCAGGCTGATTTCAGGACCCCAGCAGTGCAATAACCCCTAACTATCCTTCCAGCCTCTCTTTGGGAAGCAGAAACAAGTGGTACCCAGAAAATTGGATTACCATGAGCTATCCATCTCTAAAGTGATGCTAAAGTTCAGGTTCCGAAAGAAATCTGGAAGGAAAGCAGAGAAGAGCTTTTCTCTTCTCTTTAAGATGATGATACTGATAAATGACCATAAGAAAATAACTACCATTTACTAAACGCTTTCTGTGTACCAGTCTGTGGCACACTGGTCATTGGTCTGGCTTTGAAATAAAAGAGAAAAATGGGACAGTGACTAACTTTTTTTTTTTAAGATTATAGAGAACTGTGCCTTTTCAGAAATGATTTAGGTAGTATAACTAATGCAACCATATATAAAATAGGGGCCATCTACAATTTCACCTAAGGAATCTGAAGTAAAATATCTAACAATGAAAGTCAAGTAGCCTTTATTTATAGGAGAGGTGAGTTGCAGTTCGTGTGGTGTGATCGAAGGTGTTAGGAAAGTCCAGCTGCTCAAAATATGTCTTCCTGACCCTCTTAAAATACTGCCTGGATTTACACCATCAAAATAATCCCTTTTCAATGTGGTTTGTATTGTAAAATGCACATTTACTTCACATTCAGCTGTTATCATGCTTCCTAGTGAATAGTGGAGCAGGCTGACAACTAGCTAAGGACATCAAGTGAGGAGACAAAGATTTGAAGGAGGAAGGGGAGGGATCCTGTCGGTAAGGGTGGCATTGCTCTAGTCAGTTCCACAGCATGTGGGCGCCTGATAGGTCCCAGATCCTGAGCTAGATCCAAGAGATTAGAAGGTAAGTAAATATGGTTCATTGCCTCAAGAAGCTTATAGTCCAGAGAGAGAAACTACACAAAGATCATGGGGCTGGGAGAGTTCTGGAAAGGGGAGCCAGAGACTCAGAGAGGAAAGGTAGAGGGACAAAGATTTTCTCCCATCACAATGTGTTGAAGGATTGGACACTGTTAAAGGCAGGCTTTTTCTTGGTCCATCGAAATTGAAGCTGGTAGGTTTCATACTCTGCAGGCTGCAGGATGACAGATCATTTAAACCCCTTTAACTCAACGACTTTTTTTTTTTTGTCCTTTGAAATTGAAATTCAGAAAATTTGACTCTATCAGAACTTATAAACTATATTGCTAATTGTGAAGTAGATGCCCCTTGCTAATTTTTCCTGCCCCCTCCTTCTGCCAGAACTCCACAGTGTGCAGTACTGATTGATTGTACAGTGGGGTTGCTGAGGCTGGTGTCCGAGCACGCCGCAAGGAGTGCAGAGGAAAGGCAGCCGGGAGGGGAACAGATAATTTATTTAAACAGCAGACCAGAGGAGAACCATGTTTGCAGACAGCATTCGACGAGCACCCTAAGACATAGTTTCTAGGAATGGACAGAACTCCCATTACCTCTTAAAAGGTTTGGACAAGTTCTTACTCTGGTATCTGCTAGCCGAATAGCCATGGGAAATTCTAATGATAGTCACCTCTATTTATTGAAGACAGACTACATGCCAGGCACCATGCTGTGCGTTTTACCCGGAAAAACATTTAATTCTCACCACAACCCACTGGGGTGGATTCTGTCATTTCCCTTCATTATAGATGAGGAATCTTAAACACAGATAAGTTCAAGGTCATATAACCTAACATTTGTCAAAGCAGGCATTTGAACACATGTGGTCAAATTCTAATGTCCACATTTAGCTACTGTCACACTCCAGTAACCTATGCCTGTTAGGCCTCAGGTCATTCACTTCAAAATGGACATGTCTTGCCTTCTTTCTGACTTTAAAACCTTATGACTCTAATTATATGAATTATACCCATACTTATTATTCTTCAGGTTAATCTGTGTTTCTGAGTAGTCTATCTTAGAGAATTGAAATCTAAAGGCAAATATCTGAAATACTGTCTTAGATCCTAGCTGTACCTTTTGGGTTCAGTCAAATTGGACCATATTACTGACTGTTTCACCAAGAAGGCCCTTCCTCAATCTCCATTTATCGAATTCTACCCATCCTTCACAAGCCAGCTGAAATGCCGAGTTAGAATTCAGATCTATTAGACTGTTGGAGGTGAAGATTTGGGAGAAATAGTTGAGCTAGTTGCAAGGAAAAAATGTAGAATAGGGAAAAGAAAGGGTGGAGAGAGACACTTAGAGAAGTGGAAAGTTAAGAGCAGAGATGTTGGTGACCTGCACCAGCAAAGCCTTCCCTCTTATGGGCAATAGTGAAGCCACCTAAGTTATATTTGCTGGTGCCCAGCTAGTAGACGAGGTGAAGGTGAAATGACATACCATATGTGAAATATCTAGCACAGTGTCTGGAGGGGGAGTGCACGATAGTTCCGAATTCCATGGCCTCCCATAGGAACCTGCTCATCTCCATGCTGAAGACGGTTGCCGTACTTCCCAGGAAGAAGTGTGACAAGGAGAGGTAAGCAGAGACTCCACGGAGAAAAGAGAAGTCAGGAGGGAGTATATTAGAACACAAAGAGAAAAGATGAGAGCTAGAGAATAAGAGAGAAAAAGGAAATATAAGGGAATGTTGGTAGAGAAGTGGACAAAAGGAGAAATGGAAGCAAAAGCATGAAAAGGGAACAGAAGGAAGAAGAGAGTTCTGGGGCCGGAAGAAAGTTTGTTCTGCCCTTGCAGAATCCTGTGCAGAGGAAGAGTGCCAGAGGTTAGGAGGTGTCAGCGGCTTGCCACTGTGCTCCTGACCCCTGCTCTGTCATCCTGTCCACTGGCTTCTGCTTTCTACCACTGGGTGGCCCTGGAGGGCGGGAGCAAAAAACTAGGGGATTTCTTCACTTTGGGAGGCACCTCCAGCAGTAGTTATAACTTCCTTCATGGTTCCAGCTCCCAATGGGCAAGACCTTCATGGTTCTGGCAGCCTCTTGCCTTTGTCCTTCCAGCCCTAGGGGAGGAGATGCATCTAGCAGTTTAATCTCAGGATTGCCTCACCTTCCCTTGGTTGCACTTCCAGTTCTTTCAACACCTTTGTAACTAATTCACTGCATTAAATCATCACTATTGAGTTGCCTGGGAAAGAAAACTTTCATTTGGATTTACCCTGAGTTCAAAGGCAGCTTTCCCAAAGGGACTAGAAGCAGTGGATCTAAAACCATCCCAAGAGTCAGGAAGGGTTTAGGTTTACTTCCCCACTGTTTGATTGGAGAGTGACTAATCCATTCTGTCAGAGTTGAGAGACTCTTAGCCTAGGAATTATCTGTAAAATGACTAGGTTCATGGCCATTAAAGTCTATTCTTTCATGATATTCTTCCATTAATCACCTTGAACCTTAGCTTAAGGAACATCTCAGTTTTATTCCCCCAAGGGTTATCAAGTGCCCATTATGAGTATGGATCGCACACATAGCTAGGTGTGGCGGGGGGGGGGGGGGGTAAACACAGAGGCACGGGGGAAATGGGGGGCATTCTTAGTTTTTAGAAGTATTTGCTTTTTGCAAGATGAGGTTTACAGACTATCAGGAGACCCTCTTGATAGAGTCTCTCTTGAGTTTTTCCAGTACCAGCAGAGCTGCAGACACTCCATGACAATTTTATTCTTACAGTGTTCATCTCTCCCATCCCCAGTGCCCTGTTAAAACCAGGATCCTGTTCTTAAGGAATCCACAGACTAGTGGGGGCACAGAGGAGGCACATGGCTGACCCTGAAGCCAGAGGGATGCCAACCATAGGGGGTGGATTCTGCACAGGGTTTGGGGAGACTGCACAGAGACAGCAGGAGATGCTAGACAAGCTGAGCCTAGGAGGGTTTGACAAGCTGAGGGACCTACTGGGTTTTCTGGGGTTTTGGCAGAGAACAGAGCTGGCTCAAAATCAGTCTCAAAAGAACAGAAGCATCTACGCTATAGTCTGTAGGCAAGGGTTTTGGGGATGAGGGTTGGGCAGTGGAGGGGACGGGGCTGACAGGCGGAGGCCTAGCTGTGGAAGACTCTGACACTAAGGAATTGGGGCTCGGGGCCATGGGGAGTCATCCGGGATCTCGGGCATCATGGGGCAAGGTCACTCCTGGGATGGCAACTTTGAACGCTGCGTGAGGACAGAAAACAATCAGAGAAGCTGGAAGCCGGGAAGAGACCGAGCTCCCAGGCATAGCTTATAGAGGAAGGCTGGGCTTGGCCGCCGCCGAAGGGGCACATTTGAGCTCCTGCTTTCTATGCAGTCAAGGGCAAGATCCCTCCGTCTGTGGGGTGGGGGTGGGGGTGGGGGTGGGGAGGGAAGTGCCCCTTCTACGCTGAACGCTCCGAAGTCTCCAGCCTCAGAAGTTTCGAATTTCTCCTTGCCAAGGTCGGGCCACTACAGGTGGGCGACTGCGAGCTCTGGGCCCACGCGCGCTCCACGTCCGCCCCGGCGGCCGCCGCGGCTCGTCCCCTCCAGGCCCGGGCGCTCCCGGAGCCGCGCGGCGGCTGCTCGAGGAGGCCCGGCGGGCGGCGGCGGCGAGAGGCTGTGCCCCAGTTTGTGTCCAATCAGGGAGTGCGGGCTGTGCCCCGAGCCGGGCAGCAATGCGTAAACAAACCCACGGCAACTCCTCCGCCCCCTCGGCGCGCTCGCCCCGCGCCCGCCGCCGCCGCGCCCGCCGCCGCCGCTCCGCTCTCCGCGCGCCCGCCCCCCGCCGGGCCGCCCCGGCCCCCCCGCCCGCGCCGCTCGCAGCCCCGCTGCCCCGCCCCGCCCCCGCCGGCGCGGGTTCCCTCACCTACCGCCCCACGCGCGCGCGCTCGCGCACCACGCGCCCCGCGCGGCCCGCCCGGATCGTGGCCTCCCGAGAGCAAGGTAAGGGCGATGCGCGGGGCGCGGGCGGCTTCCCCGGGCGGCTTCCCCGCTCGGCGCGGCGCGGCGCGGCCCGGGGAAGTTTCTGGCGTCGCCGCTTTCCGCTGGGCCGGGGGTGGGGGCGGGGGCGGGGGCGGCCTCCGGCGCGGGGCTCGCCCGGCGGGCGGGGGGGGGGCGCGCGGCGCCCGGGGGTCGCGGGTGGCCGGGGCTGGCGTCGGCGCGGGCGGGCGGGCGGGCGGCGCGCGGAGAGGGCCCGGCGGCGCGGGGGGCCGGGCGCCGTGCGGGCGCGGGGAGGGCCCCGAGGAACTTTCTCCTCCCCGAGGGGCTCCTTCCAGCCCCGGCCGCGGCCCCGCCTCGGGAGCAGCCGGCTGCCGGGCTGGAGGGAGACCGTGAGATGTGTTTGAAGAAGCTGACGCAGTTGGTGACGCTCGCGGCTTCCTGACGGGGACCGGCAGGAGCAGCGCCGCCTGCGAGGAGGGACGAGCCGGGGCGGCGCTCGGGCCCTTCCCCCGCCCCGGAGCCGCGCGCCCGGGCGCCTGGTTCGGGGGCCGCGGGCTCGGGGCGCGAGCACCTCGCCGGGGCCGGGAGACGGGCCCGGCAGCGCGCGTTGCTTCCGCTGTGATGAGCTCGGGTTATTATATAAGATGTCACGGAGAGGGAAGGGGCGAGCGGGAGGCGCGTCGGCGAGGGCGCGTGGCCCTGGTCGGGTGGCGGGTGGCGGGTGGCGGGCGGAGGCGGGAGGCTGGGCGGGCGGGACCCACCTGTGCGCCCTCCGCGCCCCCTGCGGGCGCCTGCGGGGGCCGCGGGGGCGGGGGGGGGGGCCCGGGGGGCCCGGGGGGCGGCCAGGGCGGGGGACTTGTCCGCCTCGCTCCTCCCGGCCCCGGGAACACTCGGGCAGCGGCCGAAACGTGCCGTTTCCTCTGCGCCGCCCGGCCTGGCTTCGGGCGTTTGTACTTCGAGACATTTGTTTAGTATTAAGGGAGCTGCGTGTGCGGCCGTCCTCGTACGCCCGGAACGCGTGGCCGTGAGCTCCAGGGCGGTGAATGAATCCTCGCCCGCGGACCGGGCGCCGATGATTCCTGCGGGGTACACCGCGCGCGTACTCGCCGTGCGCCTCCGGCCCAGGGACAGCGGCCCTTCTGCAGCGATGACGCCTGGAGGGGCGGGGGAGAGCCCATGCAAAAGAGCGGCGGCTCGTTTTTTCCCCCTTGCACAATTTTGGGGAACTTTAGGGTGTCAGGTTCCCCCACATTTCCCGAAGCTTGTTTCTCGTTTTGGGAAGGATTGCACGATTCCACCTGGCTGCGTGAGTCGGTGGAAGAGCGCTGATTCGCTGCGAGGCCGGGTCCTGTCTCATTGAGAATTTGGATAGTGTCAGCTGAGGTATTGGGTTCTGAAGCAGTCCTTTAAGTAATTGCCTGCGCCCAGGTACCGCTAAAGTAATTAGCAAGAACTTCAAAAGTCAGTACATCTTAAAAGAAAAACAAGTGGTTCCTAAGTAGGAGTCCTAGTTAAAGATTTAGAGGTGTGTGTTGCGTGTGTGTGTTAAGCCAAATCCAGAAAGGAACTTAGTTTGCCGTTGATACAGAACTTTTAACCACTGTCACCACCCTTAAAGACCAACTTGACTCATTCCCACCTCTCACTACATTCGTGGGATTAAGAATAAAATTTTCTTATCTTGCAGGACTCAAGTCGAAGGGCACCTACGCAGCAAAGTTCCTCTTGATCACCTTAAATAGCTTTTCACCCTTCACCCCAGGGACCACACCCAATTGTATTTTATTTCCCCCATAGCACTTGATCACTACCTGAAATGTTTCTACTTTTGTCTTTAAGCCCTGTTTGGACCAGAATGTAGGCTCCACTGTGGCAGGGATTTTTGCCTGTTTTGCTCACTGCTGTAACTCTACCACCTAGAACAGTACCTGGCATATATTAGGCACTCAGTATTTGTTGACTACTGAATGAATAAATTCTTTTTCCTGATTTCTTGGTAGGTCTGTCTTTGACAGTTGAAAGTCAGTGCCTTTTGTGAGCAAGGCACTAGAATGGTACAGTTTTTTCTTCCAGTTTTAATTGATTCATTTCCTCCTCTGTGCTGTTTAACTGACAGCACAAGCTGGGTTTGAGTATCACATCCTAAGATGCTGAGTGTGAAGAGAGATAAGGCATATAGAACCTTGTCAAAAGAAAATGTATTACTGTATAAGACTGTGGGTGATTAAAAATACCACCTGTGCTACTTGAAAAAGAAATGCAAGATATTGAAATGGAATCAACAAAGTCAAGTTCCCACAGTGTATTTTCACTCATCTTTGAAATACTGATAGTTCTCTATTCCTCCTTCCCCACTGTTTTCACCAACCTCAACTTTGGCTGAGGCTTGGGAAAGTCTTTAGTAAGTAGCACTTAATATGAAGTATTAATTTAGCTAAGTGAATACAAGAGGCCTTACCTCTGCTTTGTTCTTATGAATGTCAGTAACTCCACAAAAGAGTGGATAGAAAGAGTTACTTAAAATCATATTTTAAACATCTTAAATGTACTGTAAAGAATTAAAGCTATAATCAGTGATATAATGGAAGATTTCAAATATAGTGATGAATGCTACCTCCTTAGAGGATAAACTTTAGTATCCTTTTTATTATTATAAATAATAAACTTTGGAAAGTTACTAGTCAGCTTTACTCTTGTAGCAATGTTTTTACAACTCAGTACTTCCAAAGTTAAAGAAGAGTGGGCATCCAGCAGCACCCTTTCCCTACAGTAGTTGCAGTCATTTTCAAAAGCATAATCTGATTTCAAGAGTAAGCTCAGCCATCATGGAAAGTTAAAGCTAAAAGGGACCTTGAAACTACTTAACACAATTCATTCCTTTGTACCAGTCTCCTCCTTTGAGGAGACTGAGACACAGTGCGGTGACTTGTCAAGACTGCAGACAGAGCATGCTGAGATTAGGACTAAGCATTTTGACTTCTTGTTGGAAGTCCCTAAATTAGCCAGAGCTCCCATAAGTGGGGGAGATGTGATTCCTGTCAGCCCACTGCCTGCCTCCTGCATGTGAACTCTCAGGTTAAAACTTTGTTTTACTCAACTTTGTGCCCTCCCATGTACCTTGGACATCTAGGAGCTCAACAAATACTTGCTGATGGTGGTTGGGCAAATGTGTTTTAAGATGAGGAATATACTTAAGAATTGAAAAAAAAAAAGAATTGAAAAAGCATAAAAACGTATCTCTTTTCTAGATTAAAGAAGTTTTTGATAAGTGTCAGACTGTTGGCCTTAATCAACCTTAGAACGTTCTTAAGAATGAAGCTACTATTTCATTTTCACCACTTCAGTTTCAAACAAAATGGTTGTGAACCATACAACTGTGTGTGCTCACTTAGTTCGGATAATTATTCACTGGGAAAACAGTAGGAGACAGGAGTCAAAACATCTGGTAGGTCTTGCCTCTGCCACAGTGTCCAATTAGAAAAGCCTAGACTGGACAACCAAATAGAATTGGGGCTAAGCTCAGCTCTGCCCCCTAACAATAGGGTCCTCTGTAGCAAGTCACTTCACTTTTTTTTTTTTTTTTTTTTTAAGCATTCTCTCATCTCTAAGGTAGGGGTACTAGAGCCTACCTTTGAGGATTGTCCTGGGGCTGGGGTAACATTTGTCAAGTGTCTGGTGTACGCTAGGCCCATAATAAATGGTAATAGCTACAATTATGATTTCTGATTTATGTGACCTTGGGAACAGCTTCATCTCTCAAAGCTTTGGTTTTCTCAACTGGAGCATTGGTAGTTGGGATAGGACAAGGGAGGGTGGAGGAAGAGGGGAGGTTGGGAAGAATTAAATGATCCCTAAGAGCTGATCTATCTCTGTACATCTCCATAGTTTAAGGAATCAATAAAGAATGCACAATCCTCCTGCAGTATTTGTTTAAGTAAAATGAATCATATATATCCTTGAACTAACAGCAGAAATGGTTCATTTCGAGGCCTTCCTAACAATTTGGCATAATTAACTTTGATGATATTAAGTACAATTTCATTCTTTTATATGATGGATACCAATTAACTTGAATATTTCAGCCTCTCATTCAGCTTACTATAGGTTAGGACCGTGCTGTGATGGTGTTAATGCTGGGCTAAGAAGCCTATTTAGTAGGCAGTAGATCACCATCAAAGGTATTCTAAGTTTTGTGTGTTGGGGGGATGTGATTAAAGCTATGCTTTAAGATTAATCTGAGTCAGAGGAGCCATGGGTAGACCCAGTTAGGAAGCTATTAAGATACTCTCCAGAAGAGAAGCAATATAAATTAGGGTGGGAGCAGGTGGGTTAGGTGTGACACCGTAGAAATAAATGCAACTGAATTGTTGACTAATTAGATGAGGAAGTTGAGGGAGAAGTCAAAGATGGAAGCTGAGTGACTTTGGATGGCAATGGCAGGAATTGAAATGGTCGAGAAGAATCACCCGTAAAGGCACTTGCTGGTAGTGTGAGGTCAGTAAGTGTTTGTCTCATTAATGGAAGTCATGACAGGTTTTGATTTAGATATGTTCATATTTGTGTGCCTGTGGACCATCCAGATAGATGGGAGCCATTGCTGATAGAGGAAGATTGGGGCATCCTTATGAAGGGATTAAGTTGTGAGAAAGGTTCAAGATGTGGGTAAGAAGAATAAAGGGCTAGGGCAGGGCCTTGGAAAACCAATATTTGTGGGCTTGGAGGGAAACAGAAAGAGGCTGTCAGGATGCTGAGAAGAAAGAAAACAGGAGGACAGGGAAAAGGCTGGGTAAGGAAAGGCAAGAGAGGAGAATTAGTGGAGGTGGATAGGGTGGAAGACTGGGAAGAGATCTTCAGACTTCTCCAGAGACCATTGTCAGCAGCCTTTGACAATGGGGTTGGGCAGCAGAGATAAGTCAGAGACAAATCAGCCAGGTGCCTGAATGGGAAGGAAGTGGAGTGAGCATAAACCATGATTGCTCTGTGAAAAGCTGAGAG